AACCACAACATGGCCAAGTTAATGGCAATAAATGAAGAAATTTAACACATCCTGAGAAGAGTGTTCCACGACTGTGAGAACCCAGTGGAGACGATTAATGATGAGTGATTATGTTATTTTATTTATACGGCCTGCCACATGTTTATAATCTCTTATTAAATCTGGATAGCAGGTCGATCTTTCAGCTTCACAGGATAAAAAACAGTTTAACGTTATCACACTAATAAGCGCTGGTAAGTTTCACCCTGGGTACCGGCAATATTAGACATTAGTACATCGGTTACAGAACGAATTTTCTGATCCAGAAATATGGAGTCACGTGCAAAAATGCATTTAATGTGAGATACAACAATAATTCCATCTGCTCATTTTTTCCTATTACCAGCTGCTTCTCTTTCCAGTACTTCTGTGTATCTTCCACATTACCACCAGTGCTTGTCATCAAACCCTTCACTAGTTCTTCACTGCAGGTCGAGCAAAAAGTACCTGCACACAGTGAACACGATGCACCAGGGGGAACAAACCACATTCTCATCAGATAATGATGCAGTGGGGAAGAAATCCAGACGAATATATATTTCAGACGAATCATATATTTCATTAAGTGATAATAGGTATCATGAGCAGGCGTGAGTGCAAGCAAGCAAATGGTCTCGATGAAAACTACAACTTTACTGCTGTAAAATGTCGTTCAATGCAGTACATTTCTTAAGGTTTTTTCTTAACTAAGGAAACCTTTTAAGGGACTCTGTGCAACACCCTTACATAAATCCCTTAGCCAAGGAGAAATTAAACCTTAGGTTTTCCGGTGAAGCATGACACTTTAAGGGGTTTTGTGCACCTGGCCCCTGGAATTGGAGAAAATCAATATGTACTTGAGATCAGTGTAGTATCTGCAGTTTACGTCTCACACCTTTATGTTGCATGTAATGTAGGGAAGGTCACGGGTTCAAATCCCATTCTCACATCCAGCATGCAACATCTGCGTTGGGCCCTTAAGTGGGGCCCTTGGCTCCCTGCAGAATGGTCCTGGGGTACTGGATGGACAGCTGTCCCTGCACTCAGACCCCAGCCTTTGCCCTCACCTCTGTATGTGTGTATGTCTTTGAAAGAAGGAAGATGGGCATATGTGGGGGCATGTGGCAAATGAAGTGTTTGTTCTCTGTAGCACTGAGCTTTTCTTGTCCCCTCCCCCCCCGTAGAAAAAGGTGGTGGAGCAGCTGAGGAAAGACCTGCTGAAGCAGGAGCAGCCGGCGGCGGTGGGCACCAAGCACGTGCTGCAGCTGGATGGCAAGGCGGCAGCGCTGCCAGTCAGCCAGGTCCCGCTCTCCCTACCGGCACCCAACCTCAGTGCTCAGCAGGTAGGAGGCCGCGCTGTATGCCCCGGGCCCTCTGAGGCACCATCCGTGTCGGGCGGATGGATGGATGGATGGATGGATGGATGGATGGATGGGAAACGGGCACAGCTCTTTTGTAAAACATCGCCTCGTACTTATCTGTCAATGTATAAACCAGTGTGTGTAGCAGCTTATAATGACACACGGCTAAAATTTTACTACGTGCATCACTGCCTTATGTCATCCTATGTCATGATGTCATAGGCCTGCTTTGTATCCTTTCCATGTCCATGGTATGATACCCATGGCATTATGCTGTTTCAGTGTTCCCCTCCTCGCGGGTTATATGACAGTTTTACTGCATCATGTCACCCCCTGCCGTCTAATTCAGGCTCGCTTTGTGATGTCATGCTTCACTGACTCTACCATTCTGATGTACGCTGATGTAAACCATGATGTCATATCCGTCCGTTTTAATACAATGGTCACGAATTTTTGCTTCCCTCTGAGCTCAGCTTCATCTCCTGTCTTCATGCCACATCATGACTGGCTGTTTTTCTTTATTAGTATTACTTTGTTAGTCGGGGTAAGTAGCGTCTGTTTACGAATAAAGACTGAGCCGCTAAATGCAGGTGACTGTCTAATAACTTTGACAACTGGAGCCAGGTTGCCACACGTTTTTCAGGTGCCGTCCGAAAGAAAGAGAGAAAGGGAGCGAGAGAGAGAGAAGGAAAGAAAGAGAGAGAAAGAAAAAGGAAGGAAGGACACTGAAGAGGGGACCCAAAAACTCGGGGAGAGAAAAAAACTGTCAGAGGGTCCAAGGTCGACTGGCTGCCGATTCGCTCTGGGCATAACAGGATAGATAACAGGATGGCTTACTTCAATAATCTAAATGTGTAAACTGAGGTGAAAAGTCCAATCCAAAGTCTGCCAGTGAGTTGGTTATCGGTGCGGGTCCGGTTAGTTCTCTGAGTCTGCAGATCATAGGCCGTACCCATGATGTTGGGCCACCATCACTGAGAGCAGGCCGGGACGCCCTCTCAGCTGAGAACGGGTCTGAGGCGCCACGTCTGACAGCTGGGGACGCATCTGGGCCGAGGTCCAGCCGGCTTCCCCCCAGCGCCCCTGCCAGGGTCTCCCCAGCGGTGCCACTGAACAGAGGAACGGCGTTTCATCAGGAAAGCAGCAGCCTGGCAAGGGCTCAGCCTGCATTTGAAAGCGGCCTCTCTCAAGTGGGCTGAGAGGCGGCGGCGCACACACACACCCCGGCGAGATCTGAAGGGTCTCTCTCTACTTCATAAGGCTTCTGAGGCTGGCAGGCTCTCGCACAGAAGCCTGCTTCCTTGATTCAGTGTGGGATGCAGAAGGCGGCTGGTGCGTGAAACAGCCCAGCTCAGCGAACATCCAGCTGAACGTTTTTAGCGGCTGTCTGCTAGCACTTTGGTCGGCAAAGTGGCGCCATTTGTCATATCTGCTGTCTTTTCGGCGCGTGTCATGATCGATGACCAAAGCTAACTCGTTATATTTGGTTACAGTTTCTCTTTGTAACCTTCCCATTCAAGGCTAGTGTCACAAAATACATTTCATCAGCTGAGAATTGTATGTTGCTAGTTAGTTCTTCGCAATATTGTTGGCAGCCTTACATTTTAGGCAAATCATGTATTATCAGAAATAAGTGGAAAATAACTAGCTTTTAATCACTGGAATTTTATTTGGATATCGAAAAAATCATGGTTACACCTTTCTGTGGTCGTTTCTTTCACTTTTCAATTGAGTTTGTTTTATTTATTGAATGTTTGCAGAATTCCTTCCACCATTAGAGGTTTTCAGGTCTTTGCAAAGCTTTTTAATCTGAGGGATTCTTGACTGCTCCGTGAGCAGTTCGTTTCCTAACTCTTGTCAGTGGTGGAATCTGGGATGCCAAGGTCGTGTGGCCTTTCGAATGTATATGTTTGGTGATTAGAGTTTCTGTCGTGGTGTCCGACAGCTCCTTTGTGTTCATTATTGTCAAAAAGAAAAAGGGAATCAGTACGATTTTTAAAGATTGAAATATATCACTGCTTTATTCATGTAATGTGAGTACTGGTGGTTTTTCACAATGCAAATGAGAGTCCAGTTCTTATAATCATACTAATTTGGCTTATGCCAATGCACTGTCATGGCAACTTCACAATTTTATACTATTTCCAAACATTTCTTTTTAATTCTCATTGCTGATCCCGTATCAGATCAACGACTATTTTCAGAAGGTACTGTATATACTACAGGTGGAGATTTCAGGTCCAGAGAGTACAAATTCAGACCAAGATTTTGTTTCAACCAGCCAGTTGAGTGACTGTGACTCTTTATACTCAACTGGCTAGTTGAAACAAAATCTTGGTGTAGATTTGTACTCTCTGGACCTGAAATCGCCACCTCTGGTACATAATATACCAAAAAGCATCAGTGTCAGTATTGGCCAGTGCTATATTTGTTGTATATTTATGAAGCAGATTGGTTGGATATATTTATTCTTTCATGTAGGTTTAATCAGTTGGAATTTGAAATGAAGTTTACACCATGTCTGATCCATCCATTTTTTTTTTTTTATTGTCATGGTTGCTCTCATGTAGACTTGCTATCAAAACTACTGCTTCGTGTAATTATTAGGTGAGTTATTATTCCTTACCTGTAGAACATGTATGGATATTCTACTTGATCGTGATTGTAATTTAAGCATCTTTATGCACATCTGCTTCATATAATGGATTGTATGTGAAAAATATTGAGTTTGAGTGTTTTTAGAGAACAGTGGAATAACGTGGAAACATGAGACTTCAGCACATATCCGGCAAATGTCCGGGGTTTTCCGAGCAGTTAGTCCAGCAGCACATTCCCTCTCTGTCTGTTATAGATGCCGTGGGCCGTCGTCCCATCCTTTGTGAGTGAGGTTTCATGGTTTCTGCTCTCATTGTGATTCCCATCAGGAGCCTGACATTTTGAGTGTTCCCATTGAAAAGGACAAGCCTGATTAGCTAGGATTGCCGGCTGGAACGTCTCGCTACGTCTCCACGGCGCGTCTGAACAATAGGCTGCAGAGGGAGTAGCGATCCAGCACCTACCTCCTTAGCGGCAATTTGCGTTTAAGTTCTTTTTGTTTATATGGTGTTTTCCGAAGCACTGGGATTGACTGGAGTACGACGACACTGGTGATTCGCTGACAGATTTTCTAGGGAATGACTTAGGGTTCACGTTTTTGGTTTCATTACCTTTACAGTGCACTGCCACTGAGAGGTGTGCAAGATCTGTAGCAGACTCACTTCCTGTAGCTAGATTCTAGGAAGAATAGTAATTCATCTGTGACTGTAGAACAGTATTTCCCAATCCAGTCCTCAGGGACCCACGGCCGGCCCGTGTTTTTGCTCCCTCCCAGCTCCCCACCAGATAGTCCACAATTTTGCTGGGAGCTCGGAGGGAGCATCAAAAGTGGCACTGACTTTTTAACGAATTGGGCTTTATGTAGTATAGTGTCCAAATTAAGGGTAACGCTTTTGTATATGCCGGTTTACCATAAAATATCTCTTGGGGGGGGGGGTGTTTTCAACAGAAAACTCACAGGCTGGGGAAGAACTGGCCTGTTTCAAAGAATGCGATTGAGTGGCGCTACTTGAAAGTTGAGTCCATAAAATGTGTAACTGCATTTGTCGTTTATGCAAAAGTATATAAAAATGTCTTAATGGTGGAAGACTGCATCTGTGGCTCAGTGATCATGTGGTCAGGGAGAGGGCTCTGATTTGTCAGCACTTTTAATAAATATCATCTGTTCTTTTAAAGTACAGAAAAACAAAACCAATCCAGTTATATTCTTTCACAGTGGCTTAGTCTCTTTTCCTGTCCACGTACTGCGCTGAAAAAAATGCCAGACTTGCCTTAAGCGAGTCTTTTTGCAAACAGGCAGTTTCTAGCTAGATACTTCGGTTCTGGTTATTAATATGCATTTTTCTTACTGTTATGGCAGACAGAATAAAACCCTGTTTGTTTGAAAGTTGAGTTTCGATTCAGATGTGTACATCATTAAAGATCGTCTCTTAATTTGCTGCCACTGTAATTAATGAGGGGGAGCTGTGAGGTCAGCAGCAATGAGTGAGACGTTGCAAAGGTAAAAGCATATTAATGTGCTTGCACACTTGGGCTAGCAGAGTTAAGCTACTTCAGCACCAAGTACAACATATGAATGCAATTTAGCAGTTGGCTATCTCTGTAGGATTGCTTTTAATGAAGCATGGGGATTCCATGTTAATGGTCTCCCTTGAAGATGTATGCATGTAATTAACTGCACAGATTTTCCTGCACTTTCATAATTTCACAAATCAAATTGAACGTTATTCCTGGCGGTTTCTACAAATGACGGATTTCTGTGGGAATAGTTGGGTGGATTTTCTTTTCTTCTTCTTCACATGGTGGGTTCTGTGATTCTGGCAGTGTGACACATTATATTGATTATGATGAATGGTTCTAATGCGTAGGCTTGGTTGTTGTCTTGGTGTACTGTATCTATGCATGTCCTAAATCCAGCCTGTGTTTGTTCCTTTGCAGAAAACTTTGACGGTTACCCCTGTCATTGCCACGAAGACGCTACCTCTGGTGCTGAAAGCTGCTGCCCCAGCAAGCCCTGCTTCCATTGTGACACAACGGCCCACAGTTGCCATGGTCTCTGCCATCAGCAGCATCCCAAGTGCAGTGAATTCCGAGGCACAGAATGCGCCCGTCAACCTTCAGGCACCCAACAAGCTGACCAATCAGAGTGCAGAGGGTGTGCGACCATTTTCGAAGAATGCTGTTGTAGTAAGTCCCGTCCTGTGCCACAATTTCTCAGAACAGTTTGCTTACCATGCATGTGTTACCTGTCGGATCGCCTTAATGTTAACCAAAGGGGGACGAAATCGTGTTTCACAGTGTTATTTGCATGAACCTGCGAGGAGACAAGATTCATAAGCACATCTGAAATCTTTGGATGCCAGTTAAGCACAGTGGTGTTGCATGAAAAGATTTTAGCTTGTATTTTTCTGTTATGTTTTGAATGTCCGTCATGTTGCACGTGATATGGGATGGTTTGGCACGTAGAGCTCCACCGATCATGATTATTTTTTTGTTCTGATTTAACATTAAAAAATTATTCTAATTAAAAAAAATATATATATATGCTATTAGAAACTTCTTTTATTGAAACTTTTTAATTGAAAAGAAAAGCCATAAAGTAGAGTTAAGTTGTAAGGAGTAACTTAACACTGAACATTTGCTGGTCATTGCTGTAGTACAATAAAACTCTTGTTTGCTTATCTCATAAGTGTGACACATATAGCTGCTCTGCCACATGACATTTGTAGCATTTTTACCTAATTGTTACACTAACCAGTTACATGAGACTGTTCAAAAATACAGCACATCATTCAGTAATGTGACGTTTGTGTAAGCCTCTATTCAGGTACTGTGCACATTCACGTAACCCAATATGCTTGTAGATGTAGACTGTGAATTAATATTTCTACAATTTAATGTAGACCACACACTAAGGACAGCCACCATTGTGTACCAGTAACATATTTACAAGAAACAGCACAGAGAGGCTCTGTGCGAATTATTCCCTTTTACATTGTACCCGCTGATTACTAGGATATCTTGATGAAAATGGCAGGAAACGATCATCAGAACTGAGGTAGAATTGTCAGCAATGGATGTTGATTATTGACCTTATCAGTAAAGTAGTGGCTTAATTCTTTTACACAACAGTGCCACTGATGCCAAGAAGGCCCTGTATCTATAACGGTGGGTCGGTTGGGCTCTAATGGTATGGAACAGCATGACGGGTTCGGTTCACTCTGCTGTTATAAACGGCATAACAGGTTTGGTTCAGTCTCTGCTCTTTTATGAATAGTGGTTTCACCGCAGGTACAGCCCACCTCCACCGCCCAGCCTATCAAAGTTCCTCAGTTTATCCCTCCTCCCCGACTGACGCCTCGACCCAACTGTCAGCCGCAGGTTCGTCTCCTTGGATACACACCCTTTCTTCCCTTATGTTGCAACCGGGAAGGGTAAAAGCAGACTCTGTCTCTAGAGGGCGCCATGTCCCCGTGCAGAGAGAGACTGCAGCCTTTGGAGTCTAACCCGGGCCTGCTTTTATGTTTCACACCAAATATTTAAATATCCATAAAATGCCGGATGTTTTGATTTATATGTGCACTTTGAAAGGGGAAATACGTCACAAAGAGCAGGAATGGGGTAAAATCCCTCTGCTTTTGCTTTTTTTTGGGAAGTGTTAGAAAGTGACATTTTTGCTTATCTAGTTTGGAACGCTCGAGAAAGAGGAGAGAAAATTCTAATTCTCCATAATGTTCTGGAAGAGATGGAGGACAGAGAGCCCTGTAGGTTTTCAAAAGGGAAGAAAAAAATATTAAATGTAAACGAGTAATCAAAGGTAGTAAGTAATGTGCTGTTGTATGAACACTAGAGAGCCACTGACCACCAGGGTCAGATTTCGTGTTTGTCTTTGTGTGTTTGTCTTTGTGTGTTTGTGTGTATTACATTGTGGAGACCAATGTCCCCACAATGTGATTAAAAACCTGCTATTTTGACGTTGTGGGAAAACTCACTCGAGTGCAATCAAAAAAACCAAAAATGCAAAAAAAAAAACAACAAAAAAAGAGAAAAAGAACAAAAGAAGAAGAGTTCTTTGTTTGGTTACTTATGGTTAAGGTTAGGGCTGGGTAGTGGTTAAGCTCGTCATGTTAGATTAGAGTTTTCCACATGGAAATGAATGGAGAGTCCCCACAAAGATATAACTACAAACCTGTGTGTGTGTATGGTAGCTAATACACTTAATTCTGATACCCCTGGAGGGAGCTTAGATCAAGACAGCTGTTTGATTTATTGATACTGGAAAGTTTTGATTGAATTTTTTTTTTTTAAATAGATATCTGAGCAAGACAGCTGTTTGATTCATTTGTACTGGAAAGAGGGGGTTAAAAAAAACCTCAATGCAAATAAAAAAACAGATACTTGACCAGACTTTTGCCCAATGCAGTGTTGTCCAGAAATTTGGGTATTTTTGCTTGAATCTGTTTCTGTGTAAATAATTTAGGAATTTAGGTAGGGTTGTTAAACATCCTTCAATGTGAACAATTTAATGATGAAATGCACTCACTTCCTTTTTAATGTTTTAGCCTTAGTGGGGTTTATCCTGTTTGCTTATAGCTGGTGATAATTCTGCTGTCCAGCTTTACTAGATGAACTTAGAGATACTGATGGCTGCAGGTGTTTCTGCAAGACAAATTCATAAACACATCTGATCAAAGCAAACCATCATCTTATTTCACTATTAATCTAGTTTGGGTTTTCCAGTCTGGTCCAGATCCAGTGTAGAGTTTTCGCCTGCTCGAGCCAGATGGAGCTCTCTGTCAGAATGGGATCCAGTGCAGTGGTATGACCACAGTGTGTCACGACAGGCTACACATTCCCTAGTATTCCTGGCCGTTATTGGATGCCCCTGCTGTAAATTCACAGCTATAATAGTAAAATAGTAGGTTTCGCGATTTCTTCCAAGTCATTTAAGAATCCATGCTTATAGCAAAAAATAAAATAAAAATATCTGCCCATATCAGCTTGGTGCCCTCTTTACCTCTTAAGTCATTTTAATTAAACAGAATTTACTGTAGATGTCCCGCAAAATAATTTTTTAATGTGCAATAGTCCTGATCTGGCATTTATTACCCACGGCAAATGAGAGTAATTTCTCAGATTTATTTAAATTTACCTTGAGCTGTTAATAGAGCTGTAGTCAGCCGTGTCTGCTGTACTCTAGAGAATTATCATCAAATTTGCACAAAATTGTTCTCTCCTGTCTCTGAACAACCCATCTGACGTGATATATGTAACGTTGCAATTTGGTCCAGAAAGCTTCTGTCCTGCTGAATATATTCACCCCTAAAATTTTAGGCACCTGTCAATAAGAGTGAAATTGTATGAACAGAAGAAGAGGAAGCATGATAATGAAATGTGTTATAATGTCATCAGTTCTTTTTCTGAACTGCTTGGTTTCACTAACTCCTCCACTGATCTCAGTTCTGGGGTGGGGTGGGTTTGGTCCTACCTTATCAGCCGCCCTGATCTATTTTGGGTTATTGTGCTTCAAAACAATGCCACTAAAACCTTCATTCTTGGATTTTTCTTTTTCTTTGATTTGATTTTTCTGTAAATGAGGACAAACCAGACACAGTGACCCCTGAACTCCGGGTTGGACGCATGCGTTTTCTCATGTGTTCTTACTGTTCGGCAGTGAAGAGGAACTGGAACCAAAAGCCCTCGATGTAACCAGTCAGGGAGTCTTATGTATTGTCTGTTGTTGCTTGTGTGTGGCTGTGGAATCTTCAGTTTGATCCTGTCTCACTGCGTGCCTGCGGTCGCGTTTTAGCCTCTGTCCACCCGCTTCCCCTCTGCTCCAGTTTCCGTTCCTGTCATTGTGCCGTTAGCTCCTCACCCCGTCCAGTGCGCCAGCCGTACAGCGTGTTTAAAGCACCGTCTGTCTGCGTTGTTTAGCCAAAATCTCCATCATCATACTGTGGGAAAGCTCTATACAGACAAGGGGGAGGTGGGGGAAGGAAGGTGAGGGGAGGACGTCTTTGGGGCAGTTTCCTTGGCAGCCTGCTCCTTCAAGGGCTTCAGGATAAAAACCTGGTTGGTTCATGTGGAGCTAAAGCAAATGAAGATCTCTTCTGATCTGATCTAGAGGAAGCTCCCAGGACGTTACACGCTATAGTGTTCAGAGCCTTCTGAGTGGTTGGGCGTGAAAGGTCTGCCAGAGCTTGCCAACAGGTTACCTCGAGGAAGTCCTGACCTTCCTCTTCTCCGCCTCCTCTTCCTCTTACTCATCCAGGTCCGGCCTAAGCCCGTTGCCCCGAACAATGTGCCCATCGCCCCGGCTCCCCCCCCCATGGTGTCAGCGCCCCCTCTGCTGCAGCGGCCGGTCATGCTGACCACCAAGGTGACCCCCACGGGTCCCATCCACCAGGTGCGCATCGTCAACGGGCAGCCGTGCGGCGCCATCGCCAAGACGCTGCCCGCCGGCCAGCTGACCAGCATCGTGCTCACCACTCCGACCACCGCCCACCCGCCAGCTCCCCAGGCCGCGCAGCCGAGTGGCCCCTGCGGCGATGCCAAGGTGGGGGGGGGACTGGGAATGTGCGACTAGGGAGTGATTTTCACGCCTCCTCTACAGAGGACATGCTGACATTTTAGCACCAAAATTGATCATGATCATTTAAATTACTGCAGTTTTGATTAACTGGAGATTTGAAACTGAAAGGTTGTGTTAATCTGGGGGCCGGTTATAGAAACTGGGAGGTACATGTACCCCTCCCCAATATTGAATTTGGATTTATTCATTCCGCCATAAATAGATCTTTACATTTGAAATAAGTTGTCACCCTACCCCACCCCCCCCCAGTCAAACTCCCTCCTATGCTGTTTTCTGGGAAATGGGGAACTTTAACACAATATTACCTACTGTAATGTGTAGGTAATATTTTTGGCATTTTCTCTGCAGACACAGTTTTAAGATGCCGAATTAAATTAGCCTGACTCTGGAGCGCTTTCATATAATATCTTTATCAATGTTTAGGGTTAGGGTTCTGAAACTTTGGATGTGAAATTATCTGACAACCCCTCCAAATTCTTTGGCAAACCACAATTTGAGAACCGCTTCTTTAGGGTACTGGTCACAAAACTATGTTAACGTGCTGCATTGTGTATGCTGCTGTTGGTTAAAAATATCAAAATAGAATGAGTGCGATGACGGTGTGGATTGCACGTTGAGAGTGGTCTGTCTTGGCTCCGTTTCAGACTGTTAATTCTCAGGGTGGGACAGAGCAGAAAGCATCGACGACGGCTTCTTCGTCTCCCGCTCCCACCCCACCACCCACAGTCAAACCCAAACGTGAGGAGAACCCTGAGGTAAGGCTCCGTTCGTGATCTGATGGCGCTGTAGGGAATTGGAGACTTCCGTTGTTGCATGTAGTGACTGTGGCCCATAGTCAGCCATAGTACTGTGATTGAACAAATTCGATGGTCAAAGCAAGACTCCACTAAAAGCTCCATAAATAACGTGTTTCAAATCAAGGGCAAGACATGTAATCTTCAGGATTTTGACAGGTGTGCTTATCTGACCTGACAGCTGAATTAGACATCAGTGTGTGGTAGAGATTGGTATTAAGTGTCTTTATTCTCCTATAACGCAGAAATTGGCCTTCATGGATGCTCTTGGCCTTGTGACACACGATCATCTAGAAGGTGAGGAGACCTTTTGCAAGCACCATAATATTCAGTGATAGTGGTGTTAAATGCTGCTTGGACAGAGTATGTCCATGTTCCTCTTGTTGCTGTGTACGTGGGGGGAAGTTTTTATACATTTTTTTTTTTCCTGTTTCCCTCCTGTCCCTCTACAGAGATTCAAAGCCGAAGACAGGAGCGCAAACGGAGAACGACAGCGAATCCTGTGTACAGCGGAGCCGTGTTTGAGCCAGAGGTAGGCAGGGCTCACAGTCACATGACAGGATATTAGCTTAAGACTCCAAACAGCACTGGTGCAACTGGTGTTTGTGCCTCTGCTGCCCTAACGCAACACTGCCCAGCGTTATATTTGATACTGAAATGTCGCGGTTGTTTTGAACCGTAATGGAATGCGTAATATTTTCAGTGTACAACCACTCTTCGTTTAGTGACCGAATTCAATTCCAGTGACCAGCTCGTTATGTGAAATGCCTGTTAAGTGGAAATCACGGTAGCATATGACCATGACTGTGTTTACTTCAGCCTTCCTTACTCAATGTCTTTTATCCTTCTTGAAGGAGACATTGTTAGCATTTTGTACATTCTACTTCAAAGATCTCTCTCAGTCCAGTGCGTGTTGCTCTCAGGCATACAAAATTAGGTGCATTGGCTGGAAAATTATTTTTTTAAATTACTATTATTCTTGTTAATTCGCAAATGTCTGCTGATTCAGATAGAATAGAATAGTGATGCTATATTAACCCACGTGGGGGAGTTCTCTTTTTTTTAATTTTGCCCCAGCTTGCTCTCCATACAGGTGAGACGAAGCTTGTGGGTCACAGCGAGGTGGCAGCTACCTTGCAGGGAGCCGGGGGTTAAGGGCCTTGTGCAGACCCCCCATGGGCCTGAGACTATACTGCTGGGGCTGAGGCACGAACAGGCGATCTTCCGATCTCAGGCGGAGAGACTTAGCCGGCTGGGCCACACACCGCTAAACAAGGAACTGTTTAGGAACAGTTTTTTTCTGCTGCATGTTAGATGCTATTTTAACGTGGTTGAACAAGCCTCACTTTATATGACCTTGGAGTGAATTCCTGCAATATTTTATCAATCTTTTGGGTAACTATGAAAACCAAAATATTACGTCGTATATGCCCTTGTTGATGAATAATTCCATTCGCAGCGCAAGAAAAGTGCAGTAACGTATCTGAATACACCCCTACACCAAGGCCCCAGGAAGAGAGGTCAGTATGTTCATCCTCAGCCGCCGGGACGTTGCTCCTTCTGAAAGCTGTGCACCTCCTTTAATACCTAGCCAAAAAATTCTTTGTAAAATGGAACACTACATTTAAACTTAACTAACTGTATACGTGTGACAACCACAAAAGTCAAACTACTTTTACATGCAGACATGTTTTGGACATTGAGCTGCATAAGGCTCTATGTTTAAAAATGACACCAATCGCTTAAATGTTTTACTGAGGATATGTTTTCCAAAGAAGCCAGTACTGCAGGTTTGAGAGATCAGAGTAAGATTATGGAGTATTAACTAGGACAGTGTTTCTCAACACAGTCCTCGGAAACTCCCAGACAGTCCACCTTTTCGTCCCCCCCCCCAACTCCCTGCCAGACAGTCCACCTTTTCGTCCCCTCCCAACTGGGGAGGCAGCAACAACGTGGACTGTCTGTGGGTCCCTGAGGACCAGACTGGGAGAGACTGATCAAAGAACATTATCATATGCAAAACTTTGCTTTAATCCCTATATAAGTAGTGTTTATGTGTTGTTACTATCTAAGCCAGGAGAAGGGGAAATTGTGTGTTGCGTTTCCTGTTGTCGTTAATAGTCATACAAGTGGAAATACTTTCTGCTTCGCGCTACAAACGCTACCACCCCGTTTCCCACTCATCCGTGGCTCTGTCTTTATTCTCCATAGTTTTAGGAGTATTTCCCAAAAAATATCCAACTTGCTGTTTTTTGGCATTGTACCTTACCCTTTTAAGTATACAGATTAGTTTTAATGTATGTAATATCTAATTTTATAAGACTGTGTCAGAAATAACATTTTACTGTGCCCATATGAGTAACGTCAACAGTAGAACATTTAGTCTGGTCTAGTTCGGAGATTACTGTGTGCATGTAAACAGTAGACTTGTTAACGATTGACTGATACCTTCCCACTCATCATAAGAAGACACTAAGAGACTTATCCTTCACCCAGAGGTGGAAAATTCAGGCCCAGAAAGTACAAATCCAGACCAATGTTTTGTTTCAAAAAACCAGTTGAGTATAAAGAGTCACAGTACTCAACTGGTTGGTTGAAACAAAACCTTGGTCAGTATTTGTAGTTTCTGCACCTAAACTTTCCACCTCTGCCTGCACCCTTCCCACCCCAGCTGTCGAGAGGACTTGCCTAACATGAAATGTGACCCCCAAGCAAACAAACCTGACTGATGCTTCTGCTGTCTTCATGTTTGCTCCCTAACCCTAACCCTAACCCTATTCCCTGTAGCTCTCTAGCCGTCTCTGCTGTAGTTTGCGACTGAGTGTTATTTCATTGACAGAAATAGTTCCTTATGTGTGAAAGGAACTATCTTTGCGAGGTTGGAAATTACCATAGCATCACCACCAGCCATTGATAGTCACAGCTTTAAGCCATTAAGTCTGGCTTGACAGTAATTATGGTTCATTTAAAAGATAAGTTTTAATTATTAGTTTAATGGTAAATATTATGTCTAGGAAAATGTCATGGAGTAGAAACTGTTGAAAATGTCTTTTGGTGATGAGAAATGCAGGTAGGATACCATCTTTGTCGCCACTTTGAGAGCAGCCATGTGATTGGCTGTCCAGTTTGCATAGTTCTCCATTTAGCACGCTGTTGCACTAATTTCCATGTGCTCCTCCTCCTCTTTCCATGCTAGCCAATGAGGATCCTGTATCAAAGGTATGTGAGACAGATGTTTTTTTTTTTTCTTTCTTTTTCTTTTTTCCTTTTTTTTCCCCCCTCTCGTCTGTCTCATTTCACTCAGGTCGTCCTCCCAAATACAGCAGTGTCGCAGAGCTGGGCTGCCCCACCCCGAGCTCCCCCTCCAGCTGCCAGGGTGCCTCCCCGGCCTCCGACAAGGCCAAGATGGGGGGCTCTCACTTCCCCATCAACCCCCAAACTCTCCCCTTGCTAAGCCCCAGCCCCAGCCCCAGCCCCGGGGATGTAAGTAGCTGTTGTAAGACGCGGCTTATCGGCGGCATTGCAGGATATTAAGAGTTTTACCTGACAACCCCCCCCTCCCCCTCCCGCACCTCCCAGAAGAACCCAGGGGCCGCCCTCTGCTGGTGACAGCCAAACTTACACCAAGCCAGTGCCTGCAGTAACAGAGAGGCCTCCAAACAGACGTGATTCACTAACTCATACGCCTGGATTCATCCTGCATCCATTTTGTTGTGTGTCCCTGTACATTTTTATGGAATCATCCCCCTTACAAAGTGAACAGTCTTTCCTCATTTAGACCTGCTGTGCAATTGATTTGTAATTTGTTTTATTTGATGGTGTACTGTTAGGGGTGAGGTTTCAGCAGTCTGACCCGTGCGTGAGCGGGGTGCTGTACGCTGTAGCCTATCAGGTGGTTCACAAATGAACTAGTGAGTCAGTGACTTCTGAGAAGTTGTGCTGGAGTCCCCCCCCTCCCCCCCTCCCCAAATGGGCGTGGCCATTAAAAAATAAAAAAAAAAAGTACCATAGTTGTTGAAGGATGAGAGGATGAGAAGATCCTGCCCACTAGTGGCCAGTCCTACCCCTAGACGTCCAGTCGGTCTGGCGCCGAGCAGAAGCGATACTGATCGGTGCAATTCTTCCCGACAGGGAGACATCCATGAGGATTTCTGCACTGTGTGCAGGCGCAGTGGCCAGTTGCTCATGTGTGACACGTGCTCTCGTGTTTACCACCTGGACTGCCTGGAGCCGCCCTTGAAAACCATTCCCAGAGGCATGTGGATCTGTCCTAAATGCCAAGACCAGGTAAAAAAAAAATAAACAAAAAAGACAAAGCGACTCGCGCTGATCCTCAGTGACTGACCCCTTAGCCCCGCCCCTCGACCTTTTCCACTTGGCTCCATCACTGTAGAGGAGGCATAGCAGTTACTTCTACCATTAAAGAGTGGAGAACATCCAGAATGTCACAGTGGTGCTGTTAGAAAGCTACGAGAAGATGGATGTGAAGGGTTTTTTGGTGCTGAGGTGGATGCAGGATAAAGGATTCCAGGTGCTTTTTTTTTTGGCTGAGTGTCTGCATGTATGATTTGAAACTCCTCTTGAGTGTTGGCTGTGGATTAAGACTGTTCCCTGCTTTGTAAGTGTCTGTATGGGTTGAGAATGTCTTTATTCTTCTGTTCAGAGGTTCATCCTGGCCTTTCATATTCAGTTCCTTGGTTGTCCATCCCAGCCCATGACTCGAGAGGATGATTGCATCGTTGCAGGCATGATGACTGATGGCTGGGTCCCGCTCCCTCACCCTTACAGAGAGGATCACAGTCATTCAGTCGGCTTGTTCTCTTTTCCGAAACAGATATTAAAGAAAGAAGAAGCAATTCCCTGGCCAGGAACCTTGGCTATTGTTCATTCCTACATTGCATATAAGGAAGGTAGGCTTTCTGTCAGTGTATGTTTGAAATGCATTCACTTCTCACGAACTAGGAGATGCCCATTCAGCTTTGAGAACTACATGCACATATATAAACTCTTGTACACATTGCACATTTGTGTACAGAACAATGTACTGACTGTAATTTGTGCTGATGTTCCCTATCGCTTATATTTTACATCTGCTATTTTGTTCTTAATTCATGCTTTGTGTTGTCTTTGAATGCTACCAAAACAAATTTCAAGTACATGTAGGCATAGTTTTCCAGTAAAGTGAATTCTGAATGATTCCAAATAACATACCGTTTAGTTTTTCTAGTTAATGAGTGGTGTCGGTTCATTCTCGTGGTGTTACAGCAAAGGAGGAAGAGAAGCAGAAGCTGTTGAAGTGGAGTTCAGAGGTGAAGGAGGAGCGGGAGCAGCTGGAGCAGCGGGTCAAACAGCTGAGCAGCTCGATCACGGTGAGCGCAGGAAGTAGTTCAGTTCTTCTCATGAGCAGGCATTGAACCCTTGACTTATGAAAAGGTTTATGTTTAATAGCAAAGTCTTCTGCTTTGATTTGTATTTCCTGAATTATGAAGTGAGATGCATTTTTATGGTTATTGTATTAAACTATGATAGGCATAACCTTAAATTCTTTTCATTTATGCTGCTTGTTTAAAATATGTACATACGGTTTAGACCTAAAGTCATGAATGGCAGCTACAGTAGATGGCTTGCTGATTATTGAACTATAAAAATCTAATTTGTACAAAAAGATTGACATTTAATATATATTCGCTATCTATTTGTTCAGTGGAATAATACAGATTAATGAATTGCACCTGTTGTCAGTGATGTAGCAAGGAATTCTGAGACCCCTGACAAAATGTCACCTTGAACCCCTTTGGTACATTCTGCTGAATGGGGGAGCGGTGCCTTAGCTGTCTTAGGCGTCTCACAGTGCGGACATGGCAATTTATTGCCCTAGCCACATCAGCAGTCCTCATGCCTCCCTGCAACATGCCTAATGCACGTTCACGCAGATGAGCAGGGACCCTGGGCATCTTTCTTTGGGTGTTTTTCACAGTCGGGTAGAAAGGTTCCTTGTGGTCCTGGTTTTTAGAACTGTGACCTTAAATGCCTACTTTCTGTAAGCTGTTAAGGTCTTAACGACCATTCCACAGGTGCATG